TATGCAGGAAAAACCCTGGTATTATAAACCTTTATTCTTATTGCCAGTTACATTTTGGCCTTTTTTAAACTCTCCATTTGCCAGGTCTGGGTTTTTATTGTCACCCCCTTCCCTTTGTCCATGGTCAGTGTCTTGAATGGTGTATTTATACCTGCAGATTGGTTGGAAGCCACAAATCTCAACCTTCCTCTCTGTCCAAGTCAACCCCTGTTGTGGCAAACACTGTAGAGAATGGGAACAATGAGAGACCAATGTGACGCAGCCGATTCTGCCTCTCTCTCTTGCTTTCTCTTTCATCTGTACCCCCCTTACCCCCACCTTCTTTTAATGAAAGGAGCCATTGTCTCTGACCTGGATTGACAAACTCGCACAGTACTTTTCCTTTAGGGCTTAAAAACTTTGCCTGCTCGGATGAAAAGGAATTTGCTTTGCTTGCGTACTTACAGTACTTATGTACACTAGCGCATCTTCGCACACATACCCCTGCACACAAATATGAACATGCACAAAGCAAAACACATAACCGATGGTCACACATATGTACACAACCACTCAAATGAACCCATACTAACACATGAACATGCATAACGTGTGTGTGTTACAAATCTCAGATTCCAGTCCCTCTTAGTCTGCTGGTCACCCAGCAAAGCCCCACCTCTCTCTGTACCTCCACTGCCCTCCTTCTCCTTTTACCGAGTGCCTAACACACTCAGACCAGCGGCGATCACTGACCATCACTCTGTGCATGGAGGCCTAGTAGAACAGTCTCTTGTGTTGCTGGTGACTGATTAGCACCGAGGGACCTGTCCTTGGTCTCTGGATGGGACATGTGAACACGGAGCATATATCTGAAGTCCGGTGGGCTTCGAAGGGCTTTAGGTCATTAGGTAGCAGAGCGTGCTAAACAAGCTGGACCGAACCTGGAGAACCTGTAGCCATGGCTCAGTTTCAAGAAAGACCCAAGGCGGCCACTCTGCCGTCCCGTTCCTGCACAAGTGTCCCAGGGACTGGGCAATTGCAGAGACGGATGGGTTTGTGCAAGATGGAGGACTTCACCTTTGATAGCTTTGAGCTGCTTTACAGTGGAGCTGTTGATAAGATCAAAAGCCACAAAAGCAATCTCAACCTCAGTAAGTTTGTCAATTTCAAAATCAGGAATTTTATGGACCAATTTTACCTTATTACATTGTACTGTAAACTTAAGATAACTAAAATCTTGTTTGGCAGCCACACTGCACTTTGACTTCAGAGTATACAGAGGCAGTACTGTAAACTTCTGTTTTTTAGGCTATTTGATCAGCCCCAGGGAGATGTACAAAATGAATACCAAGATAGCTTCATCTTTATTGGTATATCAGTCGTCATAAACGCATGTCGGCTCATAAACCTCAGGATGTCAGTCAAATTTCTCCATTTCCTAGATAACCTCTATCCCAGTGAGATAAATATTAGTCAACACAAATATGATCAACCTCAGTACATTCAACCGACTCAACCTCTGCATGTTGTTAACCCAAACTCATCTCTGTCCAACTAAAAATAGCAGCTCTCCCTCAGTGGTGAATCAGAACCATAGAAACGGCAGTCCAATCAGCAGCATGTTGAAACCAGCGCAAAGTGCATTGAGGTGGAGTTTGTCTGTGTCTAGATGCTGGTTGCATGATGTTATCTAATGTGACTTCCTCTATTCTGTGTCATGGTTTCAATTTTGAAGATGATTGTGCTATTTATAAAGGAAGTTCACATGACACTTGCTGCTGGCTTGTGCCTTTTCAGCTTTTTTCTATTCCTTTTTGTTCAGATGTATTCAGACAAACTTGCCTTCAATCCATGGCAATGTTAAAATTACGTTGAAAAGTTATTTTACTCAAACCTCAGCAGAGGTTCTAACTACAACTTGACCAGTTGAACCTTATCTGAAACTGAATTCACTTTATTACCCAAACTTAACAAGGCGACACTAGCTCCCTTTGGCCTCAGTCAGATCCTCATATCGCAATAAACTGCCCACCACTAATATTGTCTGCTGCTTGCTAACCTTTATTAGCAGATAATATAATCTGTGTAACTCTTATCAAATTGCTGTCTGCTTTTTTTTCTCAGAGATTAGAGTTTTTAATGGAAAGCCCGCATGAGAGAGAAGGTCAATGCTATTAAAGTGACATCTCCTGGCATGGCATTTAGCTAATCCTCTGTCTGTTTTACAGATAAATGGTGTAGTTACTAGCCTTCATAATGGCCAAAGAGACCCTGTGATATGGTAACCCAGGGTGGAGATTTATATATAGAACACAGCAATCCAATTTTAGAAGCGCAATGGGTGTGTTGACAATATTATTAATATGCTATCTGATGTAGGGGGCCTCTGTGGAACAGGAACTGCTTGTACTCTATCTCTTTGTGTCTGACACACATACCATAGTATTGTGTCATGCTGTGCTGTATCACACACTTGTGGCCCCATTTCTAACACAATATTATGGATTTTTTTTTTTTTATTAGGTGTCTGTTTCTGCTGTTGGGAAGGAATTGGTCAGTGTGGAAGGAAAGAAATTATGGAGAAGAAAAGGGTGGAGAAAGGGTTAAGAACAGACATTTGCCCAAGGTGAAGGGAAACTACCTTTGGGGGTAGGAAAATGGGGGGAAAGAAAGGGAGTGTAAAAGGTGGTCAGGTGCTTGAAACAGATGAGTGACAGCATCATATGAATAGGCCTGTAGTACATCTAGTATTCACTGTTTAGGGCAGCACCATGAATGGTTTTGTGTAGAAATAAACCACTTTTCTTTTTCTGTAAATCACAAACTGGGATTACACACTGAAGTGATGAAATTCCTTATGTTATATATTGTTGACTGACCTCATGTGACATCCATTTAAGGTGGTGTTCTTAAATTTCAAGCAGTTATGTATTGTATGCATGTTGACTGCTGCAACTTAAATTAGAGCAATAAATCCTGGAAACGGCTGCCAACCCAAGGCTGAAGGAACTTTAAGCTGCACTAATCAATATTCTGTATTAACAGTGGAATAAATGATGACTTGGAGACAAACCCACTGAGAATTGTCGCCCTCTCTGCAGTTTGCTTCTGCTTTACAAACCTTTCTGCAGCAGTTTTCAGCAGAAAACATTTGATAAACCCACTGTACGCACTCTGCCCAGCACCAAATGAAAGTTAGCAACTAGCTGGTGAGCATGGTGGAGCGTTAAGAAACTAAAGAGCCAGATGTCTCCCTCAGGAGGGGGTGGAGACCAAAACAGAACTAAAAGACAAAAGACATTGAATATTAGAATTGCATACATCAGCTGTCAAATCACATTGCTTGCAAACATGTTTTCTGTATCAACTTTACATAGTGACAATATGTCAATGTAATATTTACAGCTTATATGAGGGTGTCTGAGAGTGTTCTTGTTGCTCTTCATTTTCAAACAGTAGTAAGTCTCCTCCAGCCACAATGCTTCGTTTGGCAGCAAGTATTAAGTTGTCTGTAAGCCATTGTCTGTCAAGTGAGATTGTCAAGTGCCACTCCTTTTGCTCTTAAGCATTAACGTTCAGTACAGCGCAAACCACTGATCTAGTTCTGCTGCTGTTAGTCATTTGTCTAATAGATTTATAATTAGCTGTGGATCTCCTGGCACGGGGCAACCTAGCCAGTGTTAAGCTGCTTAGCCCATAGAAAACCTTTGGCCAGCCTCTGGCTTACTCTTACGCACACACAAAATCACACTCACTCACTCTCTCTGCCTTGTTTACGTACTTAAATACTGTAGCATAAACACATTCTTATGTTCAGGAGATAGAGAGAGGGAGAAAGGCAAACTGAGCCAGTGGAGCGATGAAAGTTTCATATTACATAGATGAAGTAGGAGAGGAAAAACTTAATCAATGCGAAGTAAAAAAAAAAAAAAAAAGAAGACTAAAACCTTACTGCTCTTACTAAACTGAAATGTTATTTTATACATGATATAAAGATACATTATATGTCCCTCCGTAAAAGCACACAGTGTTGTTGGCGATGCTTTAGCTACAGGAGGTGCTGGCAATGAATGTTTTATTAGCCTTAATGGGAACAGATGAAGGGTGAGTGAGATATGAGATCAGGTGATGAGAAAGACAAACTAGCAGCTAAATTTATGTAATATAAATCCCCTATCTGTGTGGTGAAATGATATTAGCGAGAAGAAGGGGGGGGCAGATGATATAAACTTTCCTTTGCCAGGGGGTGCATGACCCCGCTTTTATCACTTTCCTCACTGTCAGTTTGGTCTGTTCGAAGGCAATGTTTCTTGTGTTTTAGGCTGTAGAGATAATGATCTTAGTGCTCAGTGCCACAGCTTGTACTTCTGTTATCAAGACCATGTAGTGTTATTGTGCTGCAATTTCCTATGAATCCTCAATGTGATGGTGTTTCCAGTTAAAGTGGGGGGGGGGGGACTGGTACATAAATGCATGCAAGCTTTAATCCATTAATTTGTGCTTCTGCACCTGTACACACTTATATTGCCTCCTGTCCTCCAATATTCATGCGTCCCTTTAGTCAGGGACAATAGACTGAGAGGAAACACCGCTGATGTTGCACCCCAGGCTTTGAAAGCCCTGATACCTGAAACCACCTAATGCCAGGAGCAGAGTGACAAAGAGGAAGAGTGAGGTAGAGGTGAAGGAGATAGATGAAGTGAGAGATGAAACGAGAGTGACACACATAAGCAGAGGCTGTTCTCAATTTCTATGACTCCAAATTTGCTTCCACTTAAAAAATATTTTATACTTGCTTACTTTATACTGTTTTGGTGAAATTGAAGTTTGTTTTTACCAAAATCAAAGGGTTGTGTTATCTGAAATGCTAGATGAAATGTTCCACATCAACATTACTTACAGTATCCGATGCCTTGTTCATGACCCCGAATGTGTGTGTGTGTGTGGAGCTCTCCGGGTTGCACTGTTTTCATACGAAAATTTGAGACACTGACCCCCAGCGTTTATGTTGTGTTTTCCAGAGGAGGAGCTGAGGAAGCTGCGGGAAGAGACCAATGTGGACTCTCTGCGGCAGGAGCTGGAAAGAGAGCGAACCAAGAGGATAGACCTGGAGCAGAAGATGAACGAGGTGCTCAAGTCCAGGTAAGAGAACATGAGAGCAAGTCAAGTGCATGACGATGGCGACAGGAGATGAGGGCTAAATGTGCGAGATAGGAAGTAATAACGAAGGAGCGACAGGAAATGGTGACACTGCTCTTTGTAACATTTCAACTCAGCAATGGGTTTATCATAGGTCAGGCTAGATTGTGTGTGTGTGTATGTGTCAGTGTCAGTGCTACGCAAGGTTTCCGTTATAAATAGAGGCCTCAGCAGCCCGGTAGGCGGGGAATTCCATAAGGAGGTGTGTGTTTGTGTTTTAAGGGAGATGGAAAGAGTGCAGAAACGAGTCACGCGGCTGTCTGTGTCGCCAAGTGCATGCTCTGACACAGTAGCTCTGCTGGTGTCAGGAAAAGCCTGCGTCTCTTGGCACCGAGCGACCCACCCTGTTAAACCCAGGGTGTATATGCATGGCTCTGTGTTTGTGATCAGATGATGTTTCTGTGCCTGCCAATGGGAAATTCCACTAGTGCTCTCCAAGTGATTATCAGCACAGAAACACAGCCTCAGGAATGAGACAGTTGAGGATTTTGTAAGAGGTGAAGTAATGTACCTTGACCTGGGAGTTGTCTTCCGTAATCCTTTGTCAGCAGTATCCAGCCGGAGAGATGAAGGTGCTTTTTTTCTGTGGCTGCTGTCCAAGTGTTCTTGAGCAAGGCAGTAGAGCGTGCACAAATCACAAAACCACTCTGGTTTCACTAGGAAGTGCTTCAATGTAGCTGGCGTAGATTATTTAAGTCTCTGCAACTGCTAGACGGATGAACACCATTCTACCAAAATATTATTCCCTCATTTGGTGTTGTGATTATGGTGTTGGTGAGCGCTGTTTAACATGTTGTCTAACAACTGTCCTCCTATAGGTGTTCATTTGGGTTGAGATCTGGTGAGTGTGAAGGCCATAGCATATGATTCAAACCATTTTTATACTTTGGCAAACCATTTAGTGACTCATGCTCATGCTGTGGAAGCATCTGCATTTAGTATATGTCTTCCCTCATTTATTCAAGTTTTTTCCTTTTCGTTTGTCACACATAATTGAGAGAATAAATAACAGATAATCGATAATGATGAATCAGTAATAGTAGGTGACTTTTTTCAGTGCCATCCTTTGTCTTTGTATGAAAGCACAGGCTGTCGTAACACATGGACCAAATTCAACCTTGAGTTATCTGCAGCTTGAATTTTGTGTTTGAAGACATCTTAGTTACTGAGGCCAAAAACGTTTTTATTAGACTTTTTAACAGGTTTTTTTTTTTTTTCAATACAAGAAATTTACTTGACAGTAATGGTTAATTTTTAAAGGTGCATAATGTCAAAATGTCAATATAGTCTTAATCAGGATGTTTTCTTTGGAAAATCATTGTAATTTGTTTTAGGTCAGTATGTAACAAATTAGCTGAACATGCAGACATTTAAAGTTTGTCCACAGACGAGCATCACCATATCATAAATTAATGAAGAATTGATTTGAAATGGAGCATTTGATTTAAGGAAATTCCTATCTCCATAAATTGTTCCAAATGACTTCTTAGTAATGAAAGATCAATACAGTCTTTTAAGCAAGCATTTCATGGCCATAATATATAAATATGACCACCATTAAAGATGAAAGGACAACAAGCATGCCAAATCTAATAAACTCTTGGAATGCTTTTTCATCTTTTGATTTTATTTTCTGCATTTACACCTATTCTATCTTTTGTTCCATTTCACACATTTGCATAGAATGAGCTTAAATCGAGTCCTACAGAAGAGTAAACTTTAGGGATGCACCGAATGTTCGGCCACTGAAATTAATCAGCCGAATATGGCAAAAAAAAAAAGCACATTCTGTTTGGCCTAATGAATCAAAAGACCCAAGAAATTTTACCGAACAATGACGCTGACCTGTCGGCAGTTTTGGAAGCATTTTTAAAGTGTCCCAGAAAGACGCAAAAACTGCCTTTTGCAGACACTGTTCTGTCCACTGAAATGGACCAGTGCGAGTTGACAGGCAGTTTCTCTCTTTACAAAGACAAGTGTTGCAGTATGAGAGTCCTACCTGAAGAGAGGCTGTGAAGTCTTAATGTTGCGCGATACGAGAACCACATACAACATTATTCATCAAATTGGGTCGGACATAATGAATTTAGGGTGAGGATACACATGTGACAACGTCCGTTATTCAAAATAAGGTGTCTATACAGGATGGAAATAAGATTAATTGGATCATATTCACATAAAGTATAAAACATATTACATGTGTCCATAAAAAGTAAATGGACACATGTAATTTACTTAACTGACTAAAAAGCAAATTTTGACTATTTAATTTATGGACAAAATGTGAATGTACTTGTTTGATATTCTGCAAATTTTTTCATTATATTCGGCTTCGTCCAAGAATTTTCATTTCGGTGCATCCCTAGTAAACTTATTGGGAAAGGTTGTAAGTGCTCTCCTAGTCTCAGTGTAGGCTTTCTTTTTTTCACTCTTAGTTTTTGATTGCCCAAGAAATGTTCTGTTTTTGCTGGCACCTGCTGTGAGATTGCAACAGTGACTTTGAGACTGAAATTGCATAAACTGGCTGAGACCTTCCCTACTCTGATGAAAGAGAAGTGAGACTTAACACTTGACAGATCTTTTCCTTTTCTGTGTGTGTCTCTCTCTCTCTCTCTCTCTCTCTCTCTCTCTCTCTCTCTCTCTCTCTCTCTCCCCCTCAGGCTAGAGGACTCTCCGCCACAGCCTCCCCGGAAACAGCAGTCACCCTCAAACAATGGAACAGGTAAGACCCTGGAGGTGGAGCGCGAGAGTGAGAGAGATGAGGGTTGGGTGGGCGTCCACTGAGACTTACAGGAAATGAGCAGGGAAGGAAGACTTTTTCGTCTTCCAAATGTGGGAGGAAATCGATTGGACTGTTTGAGTGCGCATGCGTGCAGGGGAAGTGGTAGGATGTGTCTGCGGTGGAGTGATCGGCAGGAACAGTGCGAGTGCTGACGGTGTCGGAAGTGTTCAAGGGTTGTTCATGCGTTGTGTTTACAGCAACAAAAATACATACTTAACACCGTGGTTTCGGGTGTGCAACCAGTGGCATCAAGAGAAAGGAAGAAGGAACAAACTGCATGAATGCATCAAAAACGAAACTATGGAGGTTCTGTTCAGTCATTACTACAGATCTGCAGTGCCAGTATGTGTGTGTGTGTGTGTGTGTGTGTTTTAGAGGAAGGAAGGGAGGGAGAGACATAGTGGCCATGTGGCTAATTTTGGAAAATGGGTTATGATTGTAGATCACTTCATGTAGGGCAGACGTGCCTGTGCTGTAACCAGTGTCGGAGGTGTGTGCGAGTGTTTTTACAGGATGGATTAAGAGTGAGTGTGTGGATTTAAGGTCAGAGAGAGGATGAAGTTATTTGGGCTGATGGGACTGTGGTAACTGTGTAAACTACAAATTAAAATGGCTTCTGAACAGAATGTTGTCATCTGCATAGAAATACTTGATAATAAATCTGCAGCAGAAAAAAACGCCCCGCTAGATCTTTCATTTTGCCGTAATTACAAAGTCAGATTTCACTGAGAGGAGAAAAACAAAGTCACAGGCCACTTTTTTCCACTTTTTTCAGCTTGACATTCACAGTCACTCCAAGTCACCAAGGGTAGCTGCTCAGTACAACCACAGTCAATTAGTGTCAATTTGTGTATACACCACAGCAGCTGAGGGTAGTGTTTTGCTCAGGGGCATTAGTAATTGACCGTTTGCTAAGCTCCACTCCCCCTAAACCTGTCAAGCTTTCCGTCCTCACACAGCACACATGGAGGATGTGAACCAGTGACATTTTGGGCGAAAATGAGTTGTATCATATGATAAGCTCATTCTACTGCCAAAAGAGCATATGTAAATTTTAAACCAATGCAGAGTAATTAATTAAAAACCTAAAGACCAATATTATTTTAAATATAAAATAATAAATGTAAATGTTTTTCAATAAATGTTTAATTATATTGTCATCCATGTTTCGCAAATTTTTATATTAAAGACTGAATATAATAAACAAAGTCAGGACAAAGTATGGTTTTAGCTCTCCTGGCCTCACCACTCGATAATGCAGTTCACAATGAGAACAGATTTACCACTTCAAATTCCATCATTATTGAAGTTTTATTTATTTATTTATCTTGACCAAAGTTAGACAAAAACATACTTTCTGACTGAATACTCACTCTCACTCTGAAAGAGAAAGGCAAAAGATCCGTTGTGAAAGGAAATGTTTCATATTATGCTTTCCTTCCCAGGATTAGGAGTAGCCCAATGTGTGGGTCTCAAAACAAGCCATGCTAATTAACAACAAGATAAATGTTGTTATAGATCACATCATATTACCATATAGCCATATATTTATGTTTATTGTTGGTGAAGGGAATCAAAACACATGTACCTATAACCTGTAACAACAGATGGGAAATGAGTTCCATACAACTGGGTGAATTTACCAATCCTAATCTAAAGGGTTGTTTACACACCTTTTTGTTCTCTTTAGCAGACAAACAGCAGAAGGAGGTCTGGAGTTCGCGGCTGCAGAAGTGGGTGTACGAGCGCTTCGGGGTTTACATCGAAGACTTCCGCTTCCAGCCGGAGGAAAGCACCGTGGAAGCCGAGGAACCACTAAGTGCTAAAAGGTGGGTGAGACCTCCTCTGGAATAGAACATGAAGTATCTGTCCTCAGTATTGATTCTGCGGTTGTTGAAGGAGATGTGGAGTCAGACAGCTAGACGGCAGCTGGGGAGTACTAAAGGTGTACAGCTGTCGTTCTTTTTTGCCGCAGTTGCCCGGAATTGGTACTTTTCTTGCTTTTATTTTAAATGTGCACTTGTACACAAAATAATCTAAATCATATACTATTTATTGTACTGTGTGTACCTTTTGATATGTGCTACCAATGCACCTTCGCTGACTTCCTGTATCAAGTGTTCAGTGGCAGTATGTTGGTTGCTTCAGGCTTTATGGAAGCTCTTTTCTCACTTATTTTCTCATTTCTGTCCTCCTTTGTGAAAGCGAGTGAGTCATGCCAGGCTGACGAAGGCCAGAGTGTCCCCACCTCCTCTCGCACACAAAGCAGCTTTTTTTTCTTGCTGTTGTACGTGAGCATCTGCGTAATGTTCTGACCTTCCCTTTTTGTGTTTTTCATCCAGGTTAACAGAAAATATGAGGCGACTCAGTGAGTACTCAAAACACACACTCACCATTAAAATTCTAGCTATCAGTACAACATTTTTGTATGAGTTGTTTTTGTAGCCAGTACAAACTGCTGTAGCATTACAAAAATGACTATATATTGTCAGTACCTCTTGCTTCAGATCATGATTTTTCATTGAACACTTTTGAATTTAATGTGACCACCGATAATTAGGGCCGTGCGATATGACCAAAATCTCATATGCCAATATAGAAAGTTATGTAAATTCAATGAAATATCACAAATTACTGTTGGAATTTCCAAGCTTGCTAACCCTACACATTAGCAAGCTGTTGTTACTTGCTGCAAAGCTAACATGAAAGGACGAGACGGTCCCAGAGCCAGCATACGTGCTACTCACAACTCTCCTGCTAGTTTTCAGTCACGTGACCTGCACAGTGACCTGGAGGGTCAACAGACCAACACCGTGACTTCCCCGTAGAGCGGCTGCAAAAGCAGTCAAATTTTATTTGGATCACCTTTCAACTTAAGAAAAAGAAAGATATGAACACAAACTGCAAGTGTTGGGCATATCCGATCCATATAACGTTACAGCATCCGCTGCCGCATTTCTACCATTTACTCTTACCTTCTGGGGAATCCTAACGCAGCCCAGGCTTGTCTCCTCCTCAATTAGTAAATCCGAAAGCACAACAAACATCCAGCATTTTGGCAAAGCAAAAAGTAACAAACTCAAAGTAACAGTGTATCACTTGCATATTTGTTGGCAGGCAGCGGAAAATAACGTCTTTTTCGCCCTCCAAGGGAGCGTTTTCCTTGGAAGGTGACGTCACGTGAAAACTATGAATAACTGACACTACAACAACAGTATGTCTTGGTGAACTAGAAAGTAAGCTGAATGTCTGAGAGCAAGTCATTTACCTGATACACAAATCATGGCTGGAACTGCTGGAATATTGGCTCATAAAAAATAATTGAGTAACAGCCAAACATTGACTTTGAAGAATTTATTAATAAAAGAGAATAAACAGAAAAGTACTAAAACACATATACAGCTGAATTGAATGAACATTCAAGGAGAGGAAAGGAACAACAAGAAGGGGGAAACACCAAAACAATCTCACAGCTCTGACCTAAACCCTAGTAAATGTGGACAGACTTACATAGATAGTATAGAAGAAGGAAACGTTAAGGATAAAAAATACAATACATATATATCTAAAAGACATAGTAATAATAATAATAATAATAATAATAATAGTAAACATGTATAAAAGATTAAATGTAAGAGGACACAATTTTCTGCCATAACACACGCACGCCTGTTCAGTATTACCCAGTTCTGAGTAAACTTCACTCTCCTCCATGTTTGTTTATTCTGAATGCAAATGTCTTCTCTGCATGTGTGAAAGTATGCAAGGCGTTGTACCCTTGTGAAAATATTACCTTAAAGTGTGGAATTTGTAACACAACAAAATAAACAATAGATTTTTCTGTCGTCAAATGACATATATCGCCCTATCGCACAGCCCTACCTATGGTTGTTTTATTTAATGTTTTAAAGTAAGAAATGTCCTTTATCCAGTACACAAAAACTTCCAGTGCCTTTAAAATCAGTGTAGGAGGAAAATAATCAGAAACTGACACAGTGCCATTATGTATTTGTCCTAAACTGCACTGACTATATTCCTCTATCCTTGTTTTTTAGAGCGAGGAGCCAGACCTGTCACCAACTTCTTAAGGAACCTCTCCGCCTTATCTAATTGGCACTCCGTCTACACCTCAGCTATTGCCTTCATTGTGAGTGTGCACTTTTTTTTAATTCATAAAATCAACACTATTAAGTTAGCGGTCTCTAGGAAATTATACAGTAGAACCATGAGAAATTTGACAGATTACACAAAATATTACTTCTGAGTGACACAGAGCTATGTTGATTAAGTTAGCTTTAACAGACAAAAAAGTGAAATCTAAAAGTTCACTGATGAACCCATTTGGTTGTACATGACTGCGGAATTGAACAAAGTCATTTTTACTCTACAGTGACAGATTGCAGTGGTTCTGCCAAGGGCAGCAGAGGTCTAATCAGATCTTAATTAATGTCCACAGCCAGTGATTTATGCTAAATCATCTTCAATCCATTGATTGTGTCTGTACATGCCAAGGCCATCTCAGTGGCTAGAAATGGTCTCTCTCTAGTGTTGACAGGTGACTTTAATAGCATCTTTCACAGGCATAATATTGCCTGAAATGAAATTATCAGTCAAGGGAATCTTTAGGTTTCTTTATGTCTTGTCATCAATTTATCTTCCTCTCATACATAAAAAGTATTGGTCTGTCAAATAAAGATAACTGTGGGTGGTTATGAAAGATATACCAATCTGTTATAAAAGTGATAGCTAAAGAAATACTTGTTCTAAAACTTTTATTTTAAAATGTCAGGTTATCAGCTGTTTGTTTCTGACAATTCATCTGCATTGTGGGCTGAAAGAATTCACATTTTTGAATCAGTCTGACCTCAGTCCTGTAAAGTACTGAATTGAATGTGTAGTGCTGTAAAATGTTGCTCTGTAAACTGTGATCACCCCTGGGAAAAAAAAACGATCAATAAGCCAAATGTGGAATTGTGCTGTTTGTTTTTACCTGCAGATCTACATGAATGCTGCTTGGCATGGCTGGGCCATTCCCATGTTACTCTTCCTGGCTATCCTGCGCTTGTCGTTAAATTACCTCATCGCCAGGTAAAAACAGTTCTCCTCAGTGGTTAGTCGGCTATTAGGGAAGCATCCATTGTGATTGTTTTTACTATATGGTCATTAAACTGCTGCTGTTGCTAATTTGAATATATATGTTTTCTTCATCTCTGGTTTTACTGTGTGCTTTGTGTAATAAAATCCTATTAAACTTAACCACTGAGCCCACAGCTGTGCTACTGGTTAACAGATTTACATTGTGCACCTCTTATCTCTGTGCGAGCCACATAAAAACACAAATCTACTACAGCAAATGTGTGTTGATGATAATGGGCAGATTTTTAAAACATGACAAACAATACAATACATTACCGCCGACAAGGTGAACTCCTGTCTGTGCTCACAGTTGCAAACAGCCAAATATAAATGAAGTTGTTATATAAACATCAACAAATTAATTTAAACTGGGGCATTTTGGTGATCATTATAAAATGAGGGCACATTAGTATTTGTCAGACATCTGTCTGGACTTGGACTATCAAACTGGGACACCTGGTGACCTTAAAAGTGATTAAGTTTGGAAAGATGTTGGAGACTCAAGCTTTAGAGTTTGAATAATAGTTTGGTGGCCTAATTTCATCCAAACAAAACACCTAATTAAAATGTACACTATTCACATTTTTTCAGAGGTTGGAGGATCCAGTGGAGCATTGTGCCTGAGGTCTCTGAACCCATGGTGAGACGCCTTCCCACTTCCTGTTTAACCGCTTCCTGTTTGTGTGTGTCAGGAGGAAAACATATGCATTAGTGGAGGCAAACATGTGGTCCTTTTAACCTTTCTCTTTGTTTTCCGCAGGAGCCTCCAAAGGAAGACTTGACTGTATCTGAGAAGTTCCAGCTTGTACTTGATGTTGCACAAAAAGCCCAGGTACGACACAGTACAGTACGACCATAGATGTATATAAGAAATGGACGTAGTCATCGTGACGTCACCAATTGGTTTGTGGACTGCCATTTTGAAGCCTTGAGTTTGGCCTATAGGGTGCCGCCATGTTAAGTTTTTGCAACCAGTAAGTGCCCGGAAGTGACAATACGGTGGAGCTAACAGCCGTGTTCGGAGCTAGCCTAGCTTGCTTAGCTAGGTGCAACTGTAACTCACGTTAACTGTCGTTTTAACAGGGCTGATAACTAATGTACTCACCAGAGAAAGTGAACAGCCGACTCCTGATAAGCTGTTTCAACGGTGCTGGTTAAATTTACACAGTGCCAAGGGTACGAGTGGGCTCTAGCCTGATTGACAGGTCGCCATGGTAACAGCTTGTCAATCATAGATAACCCCGCCCTGAAACATACTCTGCTTTGTGGTCTATTTTAAAATAAATGGGACCATAATTTACTAAATGATCATCAGGAAAGTGTTTACTGGGGTAATTATTCAGCTGAGAAGTAGAGACGGTCATTTTCCCATTATTTCTAATGGAGCCGGACTTCTTTTTGCACCCAGAAGAGTCGCCCCCTGCTGGATTTTCAATAGAATGCAGGTTTCAGGGTCTTCCACATCGGCCTCATGTTGTAGACCGGAAGCTTCCCGCTTGTGTACGACACGTTACCAGTCATGTTATCAGTTTACACAGATAGTGAAACAGTTCTGGTTCTTACATTGCTTTAACTCTCCTTACAGAACCTCTTTGGTAAGATGGCGGATGTTTTGGAGAAGATAAAGAAGTAAGTTAAAAATATATATTGTGTGTTACGGGGGTCAAGTATGCAAATAGTGTATAATAATACTTAAATAAAGATCTGCTGACTTATATTTTATTTCCTTTCTTCCTTATCTGTGTGTGTTTGTGTGCATTTATCTGTCAGCCTGTTCATGTGGGTGCAGCCGGAGAGCACGCGGAAACTTTACATCTGCCTGTGGGTGGCTTTCATCACCTCCTGCGTCCTGCCATATAAACTAATGGGCTTTATGATGGGTGAGACACACACATACACACAAAACCAAAGCTTCTTTATCTTTGTTACATACTGCATTGGGCCCTGAAAGAATGCAAATACTTATATTCAATCCAGCGCACACAAACAAATGTATTCATACATGCAGTGTAACTGTTCTCCCTCTCCCTGTCAGGGGCAGCTGCAGGCTAGTGGCATCTGATTAGTTGCTGCTATTTCTTGTAAATAAAGTGTCGCCAAGGTGCTGTGGGCTCATACATCCTTGGAAGATGCTTGGAGCTAAGATAATTGTTGACACAGTGTCTACATTAAATTATGTTCTGTAACCAAACTTGCAGATAGTCACTTCCAGAATTGAGTGTGATTATTTATTTATTTATTTTTTTGCCACGCCAGCAGCATGGCGCTGTTGATAGCAATGTTGGTCTGTCAGTCGCTAGGTCTACATTGGTCCAGTATGAAAATATCTCAAGAACTGTTGGATGGATTGCGAAGAAATATTTTACAGGCATTCCTGTTGCCCAGGGAAGGAATCCTACTCACTTTGGTGATCCTGTGACTTTTCTTCTTGCGCCACCATTAGGTTAACATTTGTAGTCCTGAGTGTTGTAATTTTTTTATATATATAGTCCCTGTAAGTAAACTAACAAATAATAGGCATATTATTCAACGATTATGAAAAGAATCAAAACTATTAGTCATTGATGCCTACCACATTTAGCCATTTTGGAATTTAGCTTAGACTACTGATTCCATTTGTCCCTTTTAAATATGCTACAATATGCACAACGTAATTCAAGGCTCGTTTTTTTTGAGTAAAGACAGATGTCAATCCCACAAACCAGCTGTATGAATAGCCATTGAAAGCTGTTTTTAATATGTGAATAAAAATAAACTGAAATGTGAAGGATATTAAAAGGGAGATCACGTGAATGAATTTGGATGATGAAGAATACATTTAAAATGATAAAAGGCTTTAAACTGAAAAAAGGAAGGCCTTGTAGTACGATTGCCATATCAGATTTTGTTGGCACTTTTTTCTTTCTTTTTTTTTCCTCATTTCCTTATTCTGCGTTTGCTTTCTTCCTTCCTTGACCTCTCACTTCCTCCAGGCCTGTACGCCGGTATCAAGTTCTTCATCATAGACTTCTTGTTTAAGAGCTGTCCAAAGCTGCGGGACAAGTACGACACACCCTACATCGTGTGGAACAGCCTTCCCACAGACCCTCAGCTTAAAGAGAGGACCAACGCCACTGTGTCCCGGCGGGTAAGGGGGCATAAAATGCACATCTGTATCAGCTCTATGCTGTCTCTCCTTCTCCTCCTTTCTTTTGCAACTTGCACATAAACAAACACACACAGACCATTCAACACAGCTTAGTCTGAAACCTGTCTTGAGACAAAACGTGTTCGAAATGTATGAGGATTATTTCTGCTACCCTAAGTCTTTGTTGAAGCCGTCCCTGCTGCTAACCTGAAAAGCTCACCAAGTGTATACCTTATATATAGAGGTTTTACAGTTGTGTCACAAGTCTTTTAGCAGCAATTGCATTGTCACATTACAGTAGCTTTGTGTACAGAAATACCAACTAGTTTTGTGAATTGAAGTTATTGTCACATAATTAGCTAGTTTAGCAAGGCAGCTAATCCTAACAACATGTTAAAAATGCCAAGGAATGTGTTCATGTCCATTCAAGGTAGAAAGTCAGGTCAAATAACATCATTCATTTCTGTAAAGACCAAAGAACATTGACACATTTATTTTAGGAGACAGAGTCCGAGAGCATCCTTTAACTGTAGGTCATGCTAAATCTTTCATGTTGGCAAGAATCCAGCTACTGAAGTGTCAGTCTACCTCCCACCACTGACCCCCCCTGTGGTCAGCAAAGAGAGGAAAGAGATCAGTAAAGTATCGAAATATCATCACTCCTGTCAATAATACATTACAGCGCAGCCACTCACTGTCATGACCTGGCCTCTCTGTGAGGACACCACAAAGTGTACTGTATGTATCTCTGTCATGTGCAGGACGATGAGTGTGCGAGCATGTGTGTGTGCGCCTTTGCTGTGGCATCAGTCACAGGTGTACTCTGTCGTTTCTCTCTCTCAGCTCTCTGGCACTGAGAAGGTAGGGACTCTGGTGTGTCTCCCCTTGGTTCCTCTACTGCGCCTGGGTGTGCCGCTAGCTCACCTGAAAGCGTGTGTGTGTGTGTGTGTGTGAGAGAGAGAGCGTGTGCGCGCGATGTGTGAGACACCTTCAGGACTGGCCGTCACTGTTTGTACAGAATGGATAAAAATGTCACAATAACCTTTAGTCTGAAATTTCATAATGGATGTTTTTAAATAATCATCATGTATTTTTTTAACATTACATTGATTTATTTCATCCATATCTACCCAGATTGTTGACATTTTTAATCCATTGATCTGGACATAGATGCTCTGTGAGAAGTAGTGTTAAAATGCACATAGAATAGCCCCTTGACTTGTAATTTCATATTAGCTCATTAAACCCTTCCCATTCTCCATTACACTTAGTTATTAACCCTAAAATGTTATTGCCATTAGCTTTTTAAAAACTGTCAGTTAATTGCCTTGAACCGGATTACTCTTACTGATGGGGCGAAATCACTTTCAATCACAAAATTTTAATTTTTAAAGAGTCGATGTTTTACTAATATTAATTAATGATTAATTATTCTTCATAATATCATCAAAATTGTTACATTATAATTACTTATTTTAAATTGATTGAATGTACCATAAAACTTCAATTAATAGCCGAGTCCCAAATAGCCGCCTACCTCCTTTACCGGCCTGGTGCTGGAACACATTTTGACAAATAAACGTCTGCCTCCGTTAAACGCCTGGTCTGGTTTTTATAGAAGTTCTTTGGATGTATAAAACATCTTAAACCCGCGAGGTCGCTGCTTTAGCTGATCGTTAATACAAATACTAGTGTTTAAATGTATAATCAATATGTCAGTATGGACTTGCTGAACATCGTTAGATCGGTTAGATTCTCCACAATTAAGTCGTTCAGTTCATTTAACAGGAACAATGAGCTTAAAGTCTAAATCCTATAGATTTACCGGTGTAACCTGCATGGTACAAGAGAGGAAAGTAAAATAGCCGCCTCCCGTTACCTTTGAAGCGCTCGTTAAGCCTGAATGTGTCCGTTCCTTGATTATTTATCTTCCTTTAGTCTGTAAGGGTCCACCCATCAAAAGAATCAAAACAGCTTTTCAAAAAAGTTAATCCGCGTTGTGAATCCTGTCGTGTGAAGTCCATCGCTCTGTGTCTGCTAATTTCTCTCATCCTGAACCGTGTTGTTGTAGTGATGTTACTTCAAAATAAAAGTCATAAGCTATCTGTCGGAGCTAGATCAAATGAATGAATGAATGACGTGTATTTGATATTATTTGATTATTTATTTCAAACAGAATAATACTTGTAAAAAAATTAACTATTTCATAGTAGTTTCAGGTTTGTGAAAAAGGAATTAAAGGCCTGTCCCATATGAACGCCTGTCCCAAATATAGGCAGGGTCAGTTCAGTGATTTTAGCAAATAAAAGCCCGGGCTATTATTCAGAGTTTTACGGTATTATTTCATGTATTTATTATTAATAATTATTAATATAATAATAATTGTAATATAATTGTTTTAATTCCTCAATTCTTATACCACTAGCTTGATAAACCGGAACAGCTAATTTAGCAGTCGACTTAACTTTCGATATAAATTATTTTATTTACCACATTTCTATGCGGTAGAAATGATGCTGCTAAATTTAAACATGACTCACAATATACAGTCATGGTCTAATGTTAAAAAAGGCAAACAAAAATTGAAATAAATTATCTATAATCACAATACATAAGAATCGTAATACATAGTGAATCGGCACCTAAGTATAGTGATAGTATCGAAACTGGAGATAAGCATATTATCCCAGCTAAAGTTACTGAGACACTTACATAGACAGGACTGAACAATAAAAGGACCCCTCACACATTAACATTTAATTACTTACCTTTTAAGTCTAATTATATTTTTCCCACAAACTAACCAGTAGGTTTTGCTTAGAATCTGTTGCGGTTGAATGTTGAGTGAATGATGGCCTCACTCTCTGCTTTGCACGTCACACCTGCAAAGCCTGCTGCAAAGAAGATGCACATGCAGAGAAGCACATAATGCAATACAGAATGTTTTAATTCTGGCCACTTTTCTCAATAGTTCTGGCAACATGCAGTCCTATTGGATGGTACCAGGCAATGTGTAGATGTACTAGACTTTAAATATTTCTCCCTCTCCTTCCTCCTTTCCCTCATCATCCTGTCTTATCTCCCTCCTGAATGTCTTCATCCTCTCCCACATCATGCCCTTTTTTGTATCCTTCTTGGTGATTTTTCTTTGACTTCTGTCATCCTGTCTCGTTTTTCTTCTCTTGTCTCTTTCTCTCTCCCCCCTCCTTTCCTGCCTCTTCCTCCCCCTCTGTCTCTCTCCAGGTTCAGCCGGTGGTATCTCGGGGCAGCCTCGCCACCGTCCCATGTGGGGTTAGCAGAGAGGAGGAGACAGGTCGCTCCCATAGCACCAAGAAGGGAGCCTTTCACGAGATCTTCAACCTGCAGGAGTCAGAGCGCCCTCTGGCGGGTGAGGGGACTTACTGCAGCAGTAAAAACACACATCATCACACCTGACTTGATTTGCCACAGTCCATGTCTCATTCAGAAGAGTTAGTCATTTTGTTTTAAAGCCAGGAGTTCAAATGTTTAGTTTTGACACGGGACTTTTTATAACTAGTACTACAAAGGATGTTTTCATGGTTCTCTGTCCTGTGTGATTTCAGTGTGTGAGAACGGCTGGAGGTGCTGCCTCATTAACAGAGACAGGAAGATGCCCACAGACTACATCAGGAACGGAATGCTCTACGTCACAGAGAAGTAAGTGGGACATCATCTCTCAGGAGAGCATCTTTTAGCATTAAATCTCTGACTGCATTAGAGAAAAAGAAGTTACTCTTGAGGGTGGAGCAGAGAGGAGAAGCAGGGAACAATTTAAGCCAATGGGTTTATGGTATTAAGTACCTGAAAATGTTCTCCCTCCATGTCTCTGTGTCAGTGGACAGTGACACAGCGATCAGTGGATCAAGTAGGACAACCCTCCTCCTGAGAACATCTCTTTGGATATATAACTGACAAGAAGTCCATTCAGTTTGTCATCTGTTTTGCTTGCCTGCATATTTTTTTTTTATCACCCCTTTCAGCAGGCTGTTTACTCTCTTTTTCTCTTTTCTGTCAGTTACCTGTGCTTTGAGAGCTCCAGCTCCAGATCCAGCTCCTCTAAGAAGAATAAAGTTATCAAGCTGGTGGACATCACTGACATACAAAAGGTACTCACAAAGAGAAGAAGTGTTAGAGAAACACGTTGTTGTCCGTTATGTAGGAATTACAAATGTATATGTGATTTGGTATTAGGTTATAGACCAGCTGATTTATTTTCATTTTTATAACTATGTGCAATCAAAAATAAAAACAACTCTTGTTTTTCTGAACCCCCCCAGTACAAAGTGCTGTCAGTTCTACCGGGAAGTGGGATGGGCATCTCTATAGCCACTCCTTCCACTCAGAAGGTACTTTTTTTTTTTTTTTTTACTTGTTTTCATTCATATTGTGGGTTTTGGATTTAAATCGATTCTTAAGTTAAGTATCGTCTTTAATTTGCAGGTATCTATATTTGTTTGTGGCCTTGCAATAAGCACTTTCCTGCTGTTCCTTTACCTTAAAGCATATAATATAAAATACTCTGCTTGGAATAATAATTTCTGTCTGAGGTAGTTTTTCCAGTTACCTAGTTAGATATTCTTAATATTACTACTTTTATTTGCTCCTCCCTCATTGAAAAATCAAGAACAGTCTGACCTTGCTTATTCACATACTGGAAAATTATGAACTGCTGTTCTCTTCAATGGGTTCTCATTTGTGATCACAGGTTTTTTTTCATTATTTACTTGTAGGATAATGGTGATTTACAGACAAATCTGTAGTGTTCAGGCTTGCAATAATGTTTTTTAACACTGGATTCCAGATAAAAAACATCAGATTTATAAATAAATAGTACATGAGATGATCAGTTCAGTCAGAACAACTTTCATCAAAGAAACTAATATTTGCTCTGCAGTAAGCTATGTGTGGCGTGCGGCTCTGGTCTTTGATTTGATTTGTTATCTTCTTGGTTTTGAGGTAATATGTGTACTATATTTCTATTGTGTATTACTTCGGGAGATAAGATATTCCTCACTGCCAAAATGAGGTGTAGTTATTAATGACCAAGAATTTCTGTGCCCTCCAGCCATTGGTGTTTGGTGCCATGATCCACCGAGATGAGGCTTTCGAGGCCATCTTCACCCAGTACATGAAGATCATGACCACCACTAAACCACCGGCGAGCGCAGAGCTCTAGACAGCCTGCATCCTAGCGACACACTGATGGGTCAGAGAGCTTTGTCAGATTTAACTGGACTGGAAGATCATTTAAAAAAAACAAAACAACAATCTCCTCCTCCTTGTGATGGCCATCGGCTTCCTCATCGACTGTCATCGGCCAGCTTTTATTGGTGGATTTCCCCTTTAGGCCACTATGGAGGGGATACGTGGGTGTGTGGGCTACATGTTCGTATTTGGGATTTAGTTACATCACACACTTTCTGTGGGTGTCGGATAATGAACAAAATCCGCTAACTAGTTCTGGGAGGAGTGAGGATTGCCGTGGTTTTTATCAATCTGCTGAAGGCGTGCGAGGGGGCTGGTTCTCCTCTCCCACCTGACTGACCAACTGGCTGACTGGTTTCCTGACTTACTTGTTTCTGTGTTTGCATGTGTGAGCGGATGTGTGGGCAGAAATTATAAGCTCCTAAAATTGCTTTAAGTGATTTCTTGTTCTTAATCAGAAAACCACCAGAAGATAAACAAGAGGTTCTTTTAACTGCCAGACATCTGTAGGAACAAACTTTTAGCTTAATAAATCTGTGCTAAAGCAACCACTGATGTTGAATATTTAGATATTTAACTGGCTGATTGGTGCCTCCTGGCATAGCCCAACAAAATGATAGGAGCTGTGTGAATGGTCAGTGATTTTTTGTTTTTATTAGCTGTGAAAACGTCAGATCACCATTTGACTGACTCAGAGCCTTTTTGTTAGTTTACATTGCTGCTGTCTAAATGTCTTGACCCCCCCCCCCCCCCGTCTTCTTTCTAGACACATTTCAGCAGCTACCGTGTGTTTTAGTGGTCTTCGTCGATCTAACAAACAGAATATGTACGCTGCGTTCAGCATCCGCTTCGGTGTTTGTAAGTGTGCGTATGTGAACCGTGTAGTGAAGTGGGGTTTTTTTTGTTGGTGTTTTTCAAAAATGCCTTTCTTATGGAAAAATGTCTACTTTTTCTCCTCGTCTTTGTAACAACCAGCCTTTGGGATGAGTAACTGGCGGTCCTGGAGCGGCTGATTGTGTCCAAGACGAGAGCGCAACCACTGTTAGATGGTTCAAACACTGACTGCCATTTAGAGCCGTGTCACAGTGGAGAACATAGCCTCCCGAGTCTAAGCTTCTCCTTACAAGGCACAATCTGTACATATATAGAGATTTCCTTTTTTTTTTTTCTCCCTCCATCAATGGTATTCTCCCTGCACTTTATTTGAATGTTAACTGGAATTCCTGACATTCACATTGCAGTGAATAGACTTCACTCACGTCTTCTGGAATCCATGGTCAGTATTCGCAAGTAGTTACGAGATATGTCCTGTGGTATTTCTCTTTTGTCTGACTGCTCCAGCCAGCACAGGTCATATCATGTTGGTCTCAGTGCAGTGCAAAGGCGACCTGAGCACATTGTATTAATCCCAGATCGATGTCTGCCGCAGCCAGCAAGACAACCTTCAAACTGATCATAAAAGAAGAAGGTACTTTAACTTGAAAATGAAACCGCTGATAGATTACTTGTGGTATTTCAGTCTTTGAATTAGAAATCTAAACCTGATAGTCCAAGACCAGTGCAAGAAAATCTATTACAAGACTCCTTCTGATAGGGTAAAATGAGGTTAATATAAGCAGTAATATAAATTCTGGATTTATTAGATTTTAAAGTCAGAAAACCAGGATTATGAGCTATAAAGACATGCCTAATTAGTTCCTTTTGTTTGTTTGCTTATTGTTTTTCTTCTCTGTAAAACCACAGTGAGTAGAGACTGCCATCCAGATCCTCTTCCACTTGTTCTAGATCATCTAAATGTGGTCTTTTTTTAGAAAGTACTCTGAAGTATATGGATAAAGGTCTAGACTAAACAAAATATTTCAGCGTCACTTTATTTTAACACCACTCGCAAGAATAGAGCTGGTCTTTACGCTTGCAGAATGGTTTGATATGTAGAAATGCCAAACTACACCAGACACTTCACCGTGTTTTGGGACATGAATAGAGACAGGATACGGGACTGGAGGTCATGATTTCTCTTTAGAGTTTAGTACGAGATACAGTGGAGTAGCTAATCCACACTCCCATCTCCTATTTACTGTACGCCCAGCAGGACAAGCTTTATTTTCCTCGTAAATCTTACAAAACACTGTCAAAAGGGAGGCCTTGACGCTTGATTATTAACTTTTATTCTGGTAATCTGTACTCACTGGACACTTCTTTTTAGTTTAACCGTCCTTAATCACTCTTGCGGCACTTTTCTTTTAAGGTAAACCAGAGGATTCGTTTCTGTTTTCTTCCTTCAGATCTGCCCTCAGATCTAAAAATGTCAAGGTTTCTCTTAAAGTCTATACAAGTCCTCTTATCATGGCAGTTAGAATCAACTGAGCTGGATATGAAATTGCCAGAGAAGCAATGGACCAGTTCAAAAAAACATATTATTATTATTATTATTATTATTATTAGTTCAAACTAATTAAGAATGGGTATTTTTATTTGACCATTTGATCCATTTGTATGATTTGGCCTGTTATTAATAGGCTGCCTTCCCAGACATGGATTTTCTATTTTTGTTTAGGAATAAATTGGATCCATGAATGGGGGAAACCTGTGGGATATTAGAGCAGGTGAAATCAGTAAAGTAATTGACGCTGTCTCACTGTGTGATTGGATGGCTCGTCGTAGTCTTAAAGCTTTTACCTGAAGCCTTGTGTAATCTGTTGACTCTGAAAATCAGCTCTCGGCTGCACTCAGATAAAGCACAGAATGTATCACGTTCTAAATGTCTGATTTGTTTGTTTTTTTCCTTTTGCCAAATCTTTAATTTTCTGTCTGCCATATTCTGCCTACGCTCATGTTTACAGAAGGTTGTGAAAATTAATTTGTTGGATGATTTTTAAATTTTTTTTTTTTCCTTAACCCAGTTTGAATTCCTTTGACTGGAGTTATGAAGACTGGATTGCTGTTCTTGAATTCATGTCTCAGCTGTATCGGCTCTGCACCTCTCACATGACTATTTCTGCTCACCTTTAATCAACAGCAAACTCCAATCATAGTGACAACAAGAGCAGTATTTCAAACCTCATGCAGCATGTAAATTGTCATATCCAACATCACAGTACTTGGTTACAGTGTAGTGTAATTTGCAGTAAAACACAGGCTTCATACAGAGCAGAGATGGTCATGGTGGACTGAAATGGCAACATCAGTGTTTTTGACATTTAGTTTGTCCGTTGTGACTTGATGCACTGTTTAAGGGGTGTGGAGAAAGGCAGAAATAAACAAAGTTTCATTCGCATTGTTTTCTTAAATGAATAAAATGTGTAAGGCACTTTAGATAAATGTTAAAGTAATAGTTGATAGTTTTGGCATTTGCTGAGAATTAGATGAGAAGTTTGATACCACACCCGTGTGTACGCTAAATGTGACGCTAATGCCATCAGCCGCTTAGCTTAGCACAGATTTGGTTACCTTTGGACAGGCCAGCTATTACCCCATTTGTAGTCTTTTATTTGCTGGTAGTTGAAGCTAGATATTTACCGTAGAGGTGGAAGTTATGAATCACTTAGTAGATTTCTAAGACTTCTTGTCACAGTGTAGATCATTCACTTTTTTCCTAAACTAATTAAGCGATAGCATTACTGTTTAAATGTGCTTGAACACATGCACATAAGTCAGCACTTGCTATTAGAAATTGAAACCATCATGGTTTATAGGTTATCAACAATTACTATGTATACTATTATCACAGTAACGTGGTTTTGGCCATATTGATAATATTTAGTTGTAATTTCTACTGACTAAAAACCTCTTTGTCCTGCTGTAACAGATCGCCGGCCATGGACTCTCCTCTACTGTCTGTCCGTGACATTTAACCTACGATGGTCTAGGGCTTATGGGAAATGGTGTTTATCAAAGGCCATTTAAAAATGAAATATGGTATTCATTAAACAATATTAGATTGTTCTTTAAATATTACCATCCCATGTATCATGAAAGTGGTAAATTAGACAGAAAAGTTGTATCAATCCTCTCATCTAACTCGTAGCAAGAACGCGAATAAACCTATTTACCCAATAATTTGAAAATCTTCCTTTTAATGTTAAGGACGCTAAGCTGCACACAATGACTGCCATACTGTGTATCTCACTGCTGGCAAATAACACAGAACAGTTTGAGGTTTGAACTGCGGTTAGCACTGACAGGGGCCTTGTCAAAAACAGTGGTGGTGTCCTCTTAAGGTCCCCTCCATTTAAGCTGGTGTCCTCGCTGTTGTATTAAATATGTTGTTTCTAACTGTGTAAATGTTAATTAAGGGTTTTCCCAAACCATTTCAACATGCCAGTGACCCACACTGAGCGTACAACGGTACCAGGGCTCCTCTCAAATTTTGGACAATTTACTGCAAACAGCCTCAATCTGACATTATGAATGAAATATAATACATTTTTTAAAAAACTAAACAATCAGTCCTGAGACAGTACTACTAAAACATGGTACAGTCAGTGAATTGCAAATTAAAACCCAAGTGTAACTGGGAAACACTGCAGTTAATTGCATTTAGTATTGAATTTGTCATCTGTGGCAGGAGCTTTGATGACTTCCTCTTTTCTTTCCCCCACTTTTTTTTGTCGAAGAGGTGATTTGTATACAAATGATTAAAATGTACAGTGAAGAAAACAACAGCCACTGACTTTTTAAAAGACATGTTTATTGTAAAGGATGATGTGATGTAAATTTTTTTTAATTTAAGTAAATGAATTTAAGGTATATTGCGTTTGCCTCTGTCTTCTTTAAGGAAAGTTCCACTGTTAATTGAATTTATTTGTTGGCTCCAGATTGCAGTGTCTTTACACGACCACATGATGTCACTATGATACCTTGTGACCAAAGACCAATCAGCTGGATAAGAAATCTCCTTTTGCTTCCCCTCTCAACAGGGAGGTCAGGTTTAGCTGCTCAAGGACATTTCACTACTTTCTTATTCCTGCACAGAGAATAAATTGGATGGTTTGACGTCTTACCCAGTCCTACCCAATCTAACGCTATGTCTATGTTGATCGGGTGGCCAAAGAATCAATAAGGTGGCAGATGACTATGTTTGCACTCTGTCTTGTGACCTAAGCAAGTTTGGGCTACAACATTTTAAGGTTATTTGTTTAGACCACTTCATCTTTTGCACCTCTTAAATGACAAACGCAACTGTCAAAGTGTCGTTGAGGACTTGGCGCGGACACATGAAACAATTTCCTTTTACAAAGATCTACAGCCAGCCTAAATAGCTCCGCTTCAGCTCTAATTTCAGGTAGTGGCTGACAGTTTCCCTTTGTTCAGAAGCAGAAATGACGTCCATATACGGGATTCAAGCTGTGAAAATGTCTGTGAGCCCTGATTGCAAAGTGACATGTGACACACATTGGTAACATTGCCGGTAGAGGATATGGCTGCACATAAAAAGCAGGGGAACCTGTGAGATGTACCTCTGTAGATACAGTTTATCCACAAAAGAAACAGTTTAATAAAAAATATTAAGAGTATTTGAAACGGACAGGTTAGGACATTTTAATCTATTTCAATTTGAAAATGTTTGTAAATGAGTCACCAGTCAGTGCTGTGGGAGGGTTAAGAAGCTCTTGACTTCAGTTACATTTTGATTGAGATGTGATTATTCCAAGTACTAAAGCATCAAATTATTGCATCCATATGAAAGCACTTTCTCAGGCAGAGAAATCCACAAATACAGCCACACCAAGGGCTAAAAAGGCATTTTCGTTTTGTCTTAAAGATAGGCTCATATACAAGAAAAGCACAAAAAACAGATTTCCTGCTGACGACCTGTCGCATCTCAAACGCATTCTGTTCCTCGACCCAAAGTGATGTTTTTTTCCACTGACGACCCATTTACTGATCCATGTTGAACGTATTCCCCACACACACACGCGCTCTCACTTTTTCCTCTTTGTTCGTAAACGCTCTATTTCAAGACAGAGTGCCACAAACTTTGGTACAGTTAAAGGCAGTGTGAAGAGACGCTGTGTAAATGACACCTCGGAGTCATTCAGGGGTTCATTCATTCTGTCCACCCCGCTGCTTTGCTTGATGGATTTGGTGTATTTTTAGTCAACCCAAAAGAGACATCGCACAAACACAGCTCCATTTACCACTTCTACACCATGACAAAATGGTGACATGGTTTGACACGTCAGCTCTATCTCCTTTCCATGTGTGGGGTCTGTGTGTGCACACTGTACATATCACGCACACTCTGAAGCCCCTAATCAAACCTTCGCTGTCCTTTGCATATTGGTATGGTATATCTGCACAGTGTTGAAGTTGAAACTGCTTAGCCTGCAGGACTTTGTTCTGTCAACATTTAAAACAGCAAAATATTTAACCAAAATCAAATAATTTCAATGTAAATGCCCATTTACTTGCTAAAGCAAGGTTAGTTTGTGCAGTGCTAACGCAAAGTGTATAAGTTTGCTGAACTTTAACATGTGAATTTGTGCAGCTGATCAGTGGCAAACTCTTGACAGCGCTGACCTTAAAGAGAAGAATGTTTACAAACATCCAAATTCATCTACTTACCATATTAGCTGTGTCAAACTATCAAAATTTATGTAACCAAACTTAGTAGGGTTTGTAATCCGCAACAGAGATGCAACATGGTTTGTGAGACAGCTGGTACAAATACTTCTCCAAACTGTGTTAACTTATTATTAGTCAAGCTAGTGAGCTGTGAAATTCCCTTAAAATGAAAATGTTTTTTTGTGTCAACATGATCATTTTAATTTTAAATTTTAGAAGTTTTAAGGTTTTCTAAAACACAGTATTGCACAATACAGTCCCCTCCAAAAGTATTGGAGCAGTAAGGCAAATTCCTTTGTTTTTGTTGTTCACTCAAGACATTTGGGTTTAAGATCAAAAGATTCTGAGACAAGAATTCAGAATTTCAGCTCTCATTTCCTGGTATTTACATCTAGATGTGTTAAACAACTCAGGACATATCACTCTTTGTTTGAACCCACCCATTTTTCAAGTGAGCAAAACTATTGGAACATGTGACTGACAGGTGTTTCTTGTTGCCCAGGTGTTGCCTTTTAGGTTGATTGTCCAAACATTAAATAGCTCTGCATGACTAGTCTTAGAAAATATAAGAAATAATAAAGACTGCATTTCCTGTTAAAGAGGATAAACCAGCATGAAGACCAGAGAGCTGTCTATGGGAGAAAAGCAAGCCATTGTTAAGCTGAGAAAAGAAGGAAAAAATACTCAGAGAGCAGAAATATAGAGGCCACAGCACAAGATGCAAACCACTCATCAGCAGGAAGAATTGGAAGACCAGATTGAAATTTGCTTAGATAGACGAGCTGCAAAAGTTCTGGACCACAATCTTATGAACTTATGAGATCAAGATTAAGCTCTACCAAAGTGATGGAAAGGCCAAAGTGTGGAGAAAGAAAGAAAGGAACTGCTTATGATCCGAAGCATACAAGCTCATCTGTGAAGCATGGTGGAGGTGATGTCATGGCTCGGGCGTGCATGGCTGCTTCTGGAACAGGCTCATTAATATTTATTGATGATGTAACTGATGATGGTAGCAGCAGAATGAATTCAGAAGATTATTTGTTCCTTTTACTTTTTCTCATCTAAGAATGCTGTGGTCTAAGACAAACAGTGATATGTCCTAAGATGTTTAACATATCTAGATGTGAATACCTCGAAATGAGAGCTGAAATTCTGAACTCTTCTCATCTTTTGATCTTAAACCCGAATGTCTTCAGTGAACAACAAAAACAAAGGAATTTGCCTTACCGTTCCAATACTTTTGGAGGGGACAGTATTGGCATTGAGCACATACACACTGTCTATGGTACTGAATGAATCTACTCTAATTGTGCAGAGTTATTGTCTCATTGCACAGATAGGCGGATCATTACGCATGGGCAGGAATAACTGGTTCTCAGACTAAATCATAAATTCAGCTAATGAAAATATTGTCTATCATTGTCAGCATATCTTTGTGTGTCTTACAGATCCACTGCAACCTTTTGAAGGGCTAGTTTAGTGAAAAAACAACCCTGATTTTCACTCCAGCTGGCTGAAAAGTTGGCAACACTGTTCTTAACCGGTGTTGTGCTGAATTCTACCTGCCGAGAATTGCATGCACCTTGCAGGCGATAACTGTTATTTATGCTGAGAAAAGAGGTGGATGCAAATCTAGGTAGCCTACAAAATTTGATATGCCGAATTATGCATCCACCTCTTTAGGTCCTTTTCAGACACTTTGCTGTGCTTATTGATCAAACGGTGTTGTCACCACATATTTAGTGAATGTCAAGTACTGGTACTTCTAAGTGTATTAAAATATTAAAGACACTAAACGTTCATAAAATATACTTCTAATCATTTAACACCATTGATGGACCCCACAAAGAATATTATTAGCGTTTAAAAGCATTGTTTGGAGGTGCATGCAATTCTCGGCAGGCATGCAAAACTCGGCATAACACCGGTTGGCGCTATATGAAAAGTCAGGGTATTACAAAAGTCATTAGGATTAATCCTGTGTGCCATTGGCTGTGGACGTCACATGTGAGCTGCTATTGGGTCGAATTAAGTGTCAGTCGAAAGGTCAGTTCAGCGGATAATTTGAATACAAGATATCGCATTAGTTTACATCCCAAGGGGAGTTATTACGGTTTTAAAGACATAATAGCCATGTCTGCCGGCAAATATGAAACTATACCGCAGCAGTCCCTGCGGATTTATTGATGGAATAGTGTTTTGGACTAAATGTTTTTACTGGATTTGATCGTCTGGACCTTTGATAACATAAGACCATTTTTGTTGTTTACTACGAGGCTTCAAAGGTGAGTAGCTCAATTTTGAAGTAGCTAGTGGTTGGTCTGACAGAGGCGCTGTGGTGATTGTATCTTGAATGGTTGCATCATATGCAGTTGTGGGCAGAAAAGCTGTCATCAGGACCTGTTTCTGCCAGGATTGTTAAGAGGTTTTCACATAAAGTTACAAACTGTAGCCGAACAACCGGGTGCAGCTTAAATTTAACGCTAGCTTTTTATGCGTTCAACCAGCTTATAAATTAAGTTAACGTAAGCTAAAAAGCCGCAGTCACATAACCTTTCTTTGTTCCTTTCTATATTGACGGATGAAGTTGGATGTCGTGACACTGATTTGAGCTGCAGTCCTTGCACACCGCTGAATCTCATTCGCATAACGTTAGCCGTCTTTCTCATCGCCGCTGGTTCCGGAGATCCCGGACTGCCTTGTGAAGCACACATGGTTGCAGGATTATGCCACAAACGTTGGAATGAGCGAATTCAAGTAATTCATTTAAAAAAAAAAAAAAATCAAGTCATTTTCACGTCATCCGTCTCAAGTCATGAACACCAAGTTAAAGTCAAGTCGAGCATTTTATCTGTTTTAGTCAAGCAAGTCTCAAGTCTTAAAATTTGCGACTCGAGTCCCCCACCTCTGCATCTTACAGTGCTCCACAAGGAGATGTCCAAGAACAAAGATATTCAGTACCTGAAAAAGCCTTTATTTTTTAACTCCACATGGTCACCAGAAGTTTCCATCTCCCATTAGTAAACACCAATGGTGCACAGGTGTTTAAACTTATCCAAATTATTTACAAGCTTCCGCTTGACAAATTGAAGGAATTACAGTCAGTTGTTACCACTTTTGATTGCACATACAGCTGGAGGTGTTACCACAGTTAAAACCATGTCCTCACATATGTGTGTGTG